TTGCTGTTCACAGCAGTAATGTCAGGAAAGGTTTGTTCTGTTTGATTATTGTCGTTGAGCTTTATAGTCATTTAATATTTATCATTTTTTCCTTCACTAATTCTCAGCTTTTGCAAACATTTTCTTTGTTCTGATTGCTTTTAGCTTTCACTCTGAAGGTAGGAGTGGATGGTGTCTTTATTAGACCAATAAAAGGCATTGCAGAGTTGAGGATGCAGAAAAAGCAAAAGTCTTCTCAAACATATAGCAAGGGATATGTGCCAGGTTCCTCTGTTTAAAGCAAGTTCTAAAATAGGGATGCAGGGTCTGATCAGAGATGGCAGATTTTAGATTCCGCCTCTGAGGCGGCTGATTAAAATGCTCCTACTGTTCCTGTAAGACAAAGTGCTGCCAGTCTTTCAGCCACTCCCTCCTCCATTGCCTTAAACTGAAATATACTGTTCCTTTTTGGCTGGGAAGAGAGGCACAAGAAGCATGGAAAACCCCATATATATGAAAGGAGTTAGGATAAAATGTATGTTTTACACATTGGGTAAGCCACCTGCAGCCAAGTTACAAGTTTTATCTAGTGGTCAGAGGAAGATATTGCCCTCAATTATCAGTCTTGCTTACATGATGTTAAATGTTCTTGAAGAACAAGTGGATTTCTTGGGAGCATTGCATCATTCTGTGGGACCTGCCATGGAATTATGTTTGTCTTAGAAAGGATGGTTCCTTGCACTCACTCATTTGCAAAACAAAAAACAAAAAAAAAGTCTCCCACCACAAACACATGGAATTTTTCTTTTTTTACAAAGAACTAAGAAAAGACAATGTGGTCCCCAAGACTACAGAAATGTAAGAATGGATGAGATCTTTTATTGGGCCACCAGAATAATCAAACAAATTGCAAGCTTTTGTGGAGGAATCTCAGTTCTTCAGGTTAAGTACCACCACGTCATAGTTGTTTCTCATGTGGATTTGTTATTTTATGTGGATTATTTCGTAATGCTGAATGATAGACACATGTCACCCACACTCAATTTCTGGGTATGAACTTTGTCCAAATCTGTTTTGTTTAGCTACTCTTCTGGTTCTCTGAAAGGACAATGGGTTTGCTGCTATAACCTTAGAAGCTGTGTACTTCCATGTTTTCTGTAGGTTGTTTATACCAGTACAGCACTATCACCATCCAAGGCATCTCTACCAAAAACACGATAGTGCCACTAACTCAATGTTTTTGACAGGTTTGTTTGTTTGCTTGCTTGTTTTGGTAGATCAAGCACTACCTCCTTGTGGCATCTTGTCTTGCCCTTAAATGCAAACCTCATAGTCGTACTTTTCATTAGATTTGCAGCTTTTGTGTGAATGGGGAACTTTTGTCCTTTCAAGTGCATCACATTCACTGAAGCCAACCTCAGTTTCATCCAAGAGATGGCTTAACGTGCCACCAGTTCAGCTGGAAACTATTGTCAGGTTTGTAACCATGCTACAATCCATAAAGCAGATCTCTCTCTGGCTTCAGCTCATCTTGTAACACAGAAGGCAGCTTAATAGAATAGGTTTAATTTCTCTTCCCACCCAACTATTTACCAAAGTCAGAAGAGGTGCTATCGGCCCAAGTCCTGCTTGTTTTTATCATGGGTGCAATTGACCATTACACATGATGTGGTCGCTATCCCACATGCAAATAGAAACCATGTTGCTTTGAAAGGGGCAATCTCTGACTTGTGATAATGACTAGGGCTCATGGAAGTTAGTCAAATAGGAGAAGGAGCACAGTTCTGGGTTAGAGAGAAGTCTACAACCTATTTTTCATTTGTTTAAATTTCTACTTTCATTTTGCTGCTTTTTTATATATTAGGTGGTTATGAAGTATTTAAAACAAAGTACTTTTTATACACCAAACTTGATTAACAGGTAGTTGGGAATTCAGTTTAGATACACTAGCAAACCTGTGAGACATCTGGGAAGACAACTGTGGGCCTCCCGATGTGGCTGGGCTGCAATTCCCATAATTCCTCACCACTGGCTATCCTTTCTAGGGGGTGACAGGAATTGTGTCAAATCATATCTAGCATGCCTCACTGCCCACACCTGCTCTGGAATACATCTCAGTATTCCCATGGCATTCAAATATGCACACAGCTCTAGGAACAAGTGCTGTCACCTGTTGTGAACAGAGTCTTATGCGTTTATGTTTTTGACTTACAAATAGGCTGCAGTGGTTTTGTAAGGAAATAAAAGTATTGCCTCATTTCCCCCATGCTTTAAAATATAAGGGATAAACTGCCATTCAGCCTACAGCCCTGCTTGCCAGCAAGTTTACCAGTTATCCAGAAATAAGTGAGGGACAGCTAGACATGAGAGACTGCATCGTTTGTAACAAAATACAGGAATATATATGATATCGTCCAACTGTAGTCCAACAATTCAAACAATGGAACTGGAAGTATAAGAAGAAAACTACAAAGCATATCTTGCTGTCAAACAGCAGCAGTTGTAGAATGGAAAATAATTTGTGGGAAGCTGAACTACCAGTTATCACATAAACTAGTCACAAAGGCATTGATTTACAATGACAGGCAGAAATAAGCTTGCCTCGGGTAGCAGGTCGGTGTTGCAGACAGAGTAGGTTTCAATAAAATAAAAGGAACAGGATTTTTTTAAGCAACATGTTGACTTAAAGGCAAAGTCACCTGTCAGAGCCAGTCCAGTACATTTTTATTGCCTGAAGCAAAGCAGCAAATGTCACCACACAGCACACCATACTTAATTTAAAGGATTAAATTAAGCTGGGCACCTCGTGTTTTCAACTGAAGAAATCAACACTCTGTTAAACATCCTAAACTGTTGTCTAGCTTTATCTTGGATTAATCCAAAAGCAAACCTTTCAAGCTATCAGTAATTTCCATTTCAGAAAACCTTTACTTAAAGCTCAGGATTCTGGAAAGCAAGTAAATTTTCAAGACACCCCTGAATTCTAGTACTTGAAATTATTGCAACAAAGGGACAAGGAAGGTTTAACATACTTTGTGAGTTATCACCTTTATTAGACTATCCAAAAAGGCATAAAAATGTATAATCTCGCAAGAATAAAATCTGTTCATCAACTGTTTTCTGCCAAGAGACCACATTCGCTAAAGCTTGCAGGGTTTTTTGTGCCATTTGCTGTTTTTTATATTCTAGGTGGCTATAAAAAATATCTCAGCATTGCATTTTGGAATTTGTTTTGTTCTAATGTCCCTCTTTATGCAATTTTAATCATATGATCAACTATTACCATTATCAGATTCCTAACATATCTTACTTTTAAACTAACCTGAAAAAATTTCTTCCCCTAACCTCCATAAAACTATTATGCTGTACCTATGCAGTGGCCAAACGCAATAGGAAACCAGATTCCATTTGAGTGTGCGCTACATTGATTCTCAGACATGTATGCACCCTATACTTTAGTAAAATTGAAAACTTTCAGATGTAATGGAGAACTGGCTAAATGAAGCTTCAAAACTTCCTCCTGCTTATACATGAAGGGGGAATACAAATCCCCAAGCAGCCTGATAACGGACAATACCTGGTCATATTACTAAAAGACACATGTTCCTCTGTTGTAATAATTTAAAATACTAGTACTTGAAGTTGTTTTGATCTTTTTGTCACTGCAGATCCAACTTGATTTTCACTAGAGAAGTGCAGGTTTAGCAGCACACTTCATTTCCATCCTCCTCCACTTTCAGTGAGGCACTTCTGAAGATTCAGATAACAGTAGCTTAAAACGTTTTATAAAAGGCTTGTTTCTGGGTTACATGAGAAAATAAGTAAGCTGTAGTAGTGCTTTCACAGTGGCTTGTGTTTATAAATCATGGTTTCACACCATATCTGGATCAGACCACTGTACAGGTGTATCTTAATTGTTTTATGTAAAGATAGGAGATTGTTCCGTTACTAAAATAATTGAAAGGTAATCATCAAACTGGGCCTAAGTACAGCAAAATCAGAACAGTTGCTGGATTATCGCAGTAGATCTCCTTATGCACATTTGCCTAACTGTTGTTCTGATTCTGGCTATTAAAAATAGGGACTGGTATTTGGAAGACTGCCATCGAAGCTACCGACATGAATTTGACCAAACTTCAGGAGGCAGTGGAAGACAGGAGGGCCTGGCATGCTCTGGTTCATGGGGTCACAAAAAGTCAGATACTCAGACAAACAACAACAATTTGGAAGATGGCTTGTATACTGTTCATATTCCCAAAACCCTACAATCCATGTCACTGAAGCATGCTCACTTGCTTTTTTATGTAGTAAGTTACCCATGATATAAGATTACAAGCGCTTGTCAGACACTGAAGTGTCATCGTACTAACTACTGGATATACTACTAATTTTGTTCGGTTCTTACATCCTCTGGCACTGCATTCACACTGGTGCAGTTTAGTGATTTTGCAGAAGAGGCAGAAACTGAAATGCAGTTGTACGTTCCTGGTCACTAAGAGATATTACTCGCCAGTGCATCCTCCCAGCTGCAAGGGACACTCCTCTAAAGACTTGCATGAGAAAGTCCAGATAGTTAAATAGACTACAGTGGTGACTCACTTAGCGATGTTAATCCATTCCAGGAAAAACACTGCTAAGCAATTTTAAAAAGCCCATAGAAATGCATTAAAACGTGTTATGCGAAGATCCTCCATAGGGGCGGCCATTTTCGGTGCCTCTAAAGCGAGGCAAAACAGCAGGCGGCCATTTTGTTTTTCTGGCGGCCATTTTGAAAACGCCGATCACCTGTGCAAAAAGGGTCGCTTTGCCATGATCGCTTCCCCGCAATCATCGCAAAGCGATTTTTCCCCATTGGGGCCATTGCTAAGCGATTGCTCTGGCGATGGCCAAAATCCCATCACTAAGTGATTTCATCGCTCAACGGAGCAATCGCTAAGCGAGGCACCACTGTATTTAGCTTTAGAATTTATATAATCTTAAGCAGAAAAGGACATTAGCTTAATGAAGCTGGTTACAAATCATGACAAATGACCTTGATCAGTTTATTATTGATATGCAAAGATATTTACTCAAGAAATCAATAAAGTTTATCTGGATACATTCACCATCTTGGCTCAGGACAAAAACTTAACATCTCAAAATTTGGATGATAATCTGCCATTACTCATTTTAACTCTCACAACATCCTATCTCGAAACAGACATGCTTTTGAAATAGTGCACCCAATTAAATCTGTAAGAACCTAAAGTGGCACATACAGCATGGATTCCAGATAAACTCATTTTATCCAACAACCTAAGAATACACTACAGCCGAACAAGTCTAAGAGACAATGTAGCTCTGCTATATAACTTCTAGACCTAGCCAATTTGTGGTTGCTTCCCCTATATCTATTATGTGATGGTTATAAGCCACATTTATATTCTGATGAACAAAATAATTTCCCATAATTTTGCCTGCCTGTGTAGAGTAATTGTCACTATGAAACTTGTGTTCAGTTGCATTTACCACATTTAGATCCCATGGAGTGCACTAATTTCAATACTACACATGTCCATAAGCAAGAATACTAGTGGCCATTGTCCATCCTATACAAGGATGCTCTAAGCCTTACTTTGCCAATGCAAAAAATATTTTCTCTTACTTAACTTGCTTTCCAAGTATCCATACCAAAATTAAATCTAGTTTTGTCACAGAATGCCAAGCAGATTCCCTTCCTTAACACAATTACAACAAATGAGGTAGATATTAGGTTGCATTAAGAGTTGAAGTTGTTTTATTGGCAAGCTTTCAATTTCTGCAGCCTGCTCTTTCCAAACAAAATTTCTGCTACTTGCAACTCTATATTGAATATTATTTCACTATTATCTTGCTCAAATAATATATTTGAAACTAAATGTACTATCACATGAGAGACGTTTGCCTTTGCATCTTCCACAGAGATCCTGGCGATGGGGTCTCTTAGGATCAACATGACGCAGTTTCACAGGGCAGGTACACCTTGTCTGCTTGCAACTCTGAAATAGTCCAAAAAATGTCTCAAATTAAATTGTTACTATACATATTCTATTAAAAATGAACACTTTCAGCATTGGGTTGGGCCCACAGAGTCAGTACATTAGTATCTTTTTACTGTGGGCATGTTTGAGGAATGTTTTCTAGTGAAAGCCAAGTATTGCTTTCAATGACTGGAAGATTCATACATATGATGGATTTATGATCTATTACGGCATAAACACCATAATGTGCCCGTACTTGCAAAGTACTGAGAAAGTGCAAAGTGTTTTTAGGTCAGACTTGTTCAAATGGCTTATGCGACGCACTGCTGAGGTCTAAGGACTCGTTCCAGTGCAAAGGTGATAGATAAGTGCCAGTTGAACTCTCTAGCCGAATGCCGAGCAGCCCTTTAGGGGATGTGGTGCATCACAATTGGATGATCTAGATTGCAATCCTAAGTGCAGCTTATTTCTTCCACACACTGAATGGCTAAAAGCAATTTTAAATTAAAGACTAACCCATAAAGAAAAATGCATCTTCATGATCAATACAAGCAGTAGAATAAGATGGTAGGACAGACAGCATACTTTCAAGTTATGAACTCTCTGCAAATTAAAAAAAAAAAGGCAGGGCAAGATTTTCTGTTAGCATGAGCTTGGAAGACCACAAAGTAGCATTCCCCATACAAAGTAAAGGTCTTTTTCTATCACCTCATTCTACTGCATGTGTTAAACCTGGGGAACTCAAGGTGTGTAATGTTGGCTGATCAACAGACTACATTAAAAAATACCACACTGTGGACCAGTATAGATGCAACAATCTCAGTCTGCTAAATGACGACAAATTAGATTGGGGACAAGCTCTCTTACATCGCTTACCAGCTTCCGTGAAAATACATCAGGTTTCTTATTTCACAGATTCTTAGGACAGTAAAACTAGGAACAGAATGACAGCATGTTTGCCTCCAAACCAAGCTCAAATTACTAATGCAGTAACTTCATCCACTTTTCCACAGGCAGCTTCTTCAGACATATCCCATATAACAGAATGGAGTATAAATGCCACAAGTAGGGAAATCACTTAATTTACCTGGGAGGTAGGGGGACAGTGACAGCATGTACATACAGATACAAGGACGGGATGCTTTCCACACTAATTTTGTGTCTGCCCCGTCAACAGATTATTTGTAGTATTTCCAAGAGTATTACTTTAACCTTTCAGATGTTACAGATAGCCTCTGGGTCCCTTTGCTACACAGACCCTCTTTGCCTCACTCTCACAGAAAGTAAACCAGATATTGGTTCAAGTATTGCATATTTAACTCAGAAACGAACACATATCATTTTTCCAGGATCCACTTTTTTAAAAAAAATAGAACTCTGGGCCCATCAACAAGAGTTGCAAATATTTGGTTAGGTACCCAAGTATTAGTCTCTCCACACAAAACGCTGCTCTTGCTTCCCTCCCATCTTTCCCCAATGCAGCAGAAGATTTGGGAAGAGAGAGACTCTTTTTGTTGTTATATAAAACAACAGAAGTCAGAAAGCCCAGCAGATCTATTGCATGTCATCCAGAGATCTAGTGGTAGATCCCAAACTACCTTCTGCCCACCCCCTACCTTAGGTGGCCTCCTAGAAGTCATTGCTTACTTGGCAGGTAATATCCTCCACACGGTAGGGGTTGTAAGACTTCTGGCAAGTTCGACAGAACTGCCGAAAGTAAACCTGCATAGGAGAAAAAGAGAATGAAGGCAACACCTTATCAAGCTACTAGGATGCCCCTCTTCATTACCCTAGAATGCGAAACTCACCTTGTTCGTGCCCTGTACACACCACACATATGCACTCTCCCAGCGGATATTGCAGTCCTTGCAGTGGTAATAACCGTACTTCTGCTCGAGGAACTAGAGAGCACAAATGTTAAGGCAAGACCCTGTTGAATGCATCAGCCTATGCATTCAGCTGTTCTGGGTGGTGGTAGCACCTTTCCTGCAGTCTGGGGAAATAGGAGCCCTCCTAGCTCTAACGCGAGGGGCACTTAACCTCCCATCTAAAGACAGCCCCTAAGGAGGTCACTTACATCCTCCACCCATTACCTTCTCACCACATTCTAAATGGAGTGTAGTTCTAGCTCACCTTATTCCATGTCCATAGCATGCTATTCAACTATACTTCCATTCCATTCCATCAGAGGGCTTGTATGTGATGTGGTCTTGAGCAAGCCACTTTTCCTACAGCACTCAGCCTCATGGCACTGTAGTCTGAAGAACTAATTTGTTATCACCAAGTCTCATGTCCAGCTCACCTCAAGGTTAATTTAATTATGATCCTCCCTTTACAAGGGAATGGCTAAAACTTTTGAATAGTCATCATACAAAATTCTGTTATCAAAATAACTGACTCAATTACAGACTGACCAGAATTACTTAAAGTGATAATCAGCAAACGTAAACTGAACAAAACTGAATTCACTCAAGGAATCAGGGTAAATATCCCGTAGCCAAACTTGCTCATGTGCCACAGCCCACTTCTGAGGTCACACTCCAGGTCAAGTTATTATAGACACCACAGCTGGCTCCAGGTGACTGACTGAACTTTTTCAAGAAACCGGAACAACCTCCCCAAATAAGTCTACCTGCAAGGAATTCTACAAGTTGGCATCCAAAAAAATTCATTTTCCAAAGTCTAATTCATTGTTATGCACCATAACAATGAGAAAGTTCTCCTTCATTTCACCAGGTTTGGGGGGTGCTGCTCTCAAACTATGAAATGGCATTGTCACATTGACTCCCTAATAGTGTTTGTTCCCTTCCCCCACTTCCCTGGTTGGATCCCCCATTCATCAGGCAGCATGTGCTCCTCTTCTCCTCCGCTATTCAGCCAGTCTCCAGGAGGAGCATGGGCTACCCTGCCCCGTCTCCTTGGCTGATCGCCCACTCAGACAAGGCAGGAGGACAGGCAAACGTGTGCTCTTTCCAAGGACTGGTTGAACAGCCAAAGAGGAGGAGGAGGAGGAGGAGAAGCTTGCACTGGCTGGTGTATGGCTGAGAAGGTGGGGGAGGAGAACCTGCAGCACCTGTGGTGCCATGCATACAAAGCAATGCAAACCTCTGCACCAAGGTTCTTGCCTATCTCTATTCCCCTCCACACATTTTGTGTTTCAATTCGCTAATGTTAACTATTAGTAGTTATTTAGATTGCTATCATACAAAGAAATTGAAATTAAGCAACTGCTATAGGATGCTATAGCATCAGGGCCAAGAATGCTCAGGACACAGTAGACAATCCAAGGGACAGGGTGAGGGAAGATGCTCTCTGTTGGACAGATTTGCATCAGGTAGATTCATAGAAATTTATGTGTTGTGACAAGAGTAATACATCATCTCTGGGGCCTCCCTCCAAACCTACCTCTACAAATATCACCTAGCACACTTCCTCCGTATATAAGAGCTTGTTTCAGGAGTTAAGTGTTTTTAAGTGTTCCTTTTGACTAAATGAACGTCTAGGCTCCTTTGTGTAGACAGACAGACCCGGCAACTTTACGCTTCCCCCCCCCACACACACACACACAAGTGCTACTGGGCAGGCATAAAAGTGAATGAAATCTCGACTCGTTCAAAAAACCGGGAAGTGTCCTCAGGAAGGTGGGGGGGGCTCGCCCTCCCTGGCGGCCCTGCCACACCAACGCCAGCCCAGCCGGCAAGGAAGGACCCACCTGGAAGCGCACCCGGGTCTTACTCTGCCCGCCTTCCTCCGGAGGGTGGGAGGCGGGCTTCCCCGCGGCCTGGACCCCGCCGTCCTGGCCCC